AGAAGATGGCCCAAATCCTTGGGCCCCAGCACCCGCGTGGGAGACCCAGAAGCTCCTGGCTCCTGGCTTCGGATTGGTTATTGCTGCCATCTGGGGAGTGAACCAGCTGGCCCATGCTCCTATTAAATTTATTTATTTTTTTAAAGATTTATTAATTTATTTGAAAGGCAGAGTTGCAGAGAAGCAGAGGCAGAGAGAGAAAGAGAGAGAGAGAAAAAAAAAGAGAGAGAGAGAGAATCTTCCATTTGCTGGTTCACTTCCCAGATGGCCACAATGGCTGGAGCTGTGCCAGTCTGAAGCCAGGAGCCAGGAGCTTTTTCTGGGTCTCCCATGTGGTTGCCAGGGCCAAAGGACTTGAGCCATCTTCTACTGCTTTCCCAGGCCACAGCAGAAAGCTGGATCAGAAATGGAGCAGCCAGGTTTTGAACCCGCACCCACATGGGATGCCAGCACTACAGGCAGTGGCTTTACCCACTATGCCACAGTGCCAGCCCCTCCTATTAAAATTATGACAGGGAGGAACAAAGTAAATGTTTGTTTTCCTGCCAACAGCTCTTTCTCAGGAGAAAGTGGGTAGTGGGTGAAGGAATAAATGCTAGGAATGTTACTTGTGTCATCAGGAATGCGGAAGGATTACCCTTTTCCTCTTGTAATACCTTGTCATGTTTGTCATGATATCTGGCGTACAGTGAGCATTCACCATTATATACAGGTAATTATTAATATAGTGGTGATTTGAGCAATTAGAATAGCAGCTACTGTGTTTCATAATCTTTTCATCTTCCTACATACATTGCTGTTTGAGAAACCTCATGAGTTTCTATGCAATTTTTTTCATTCATCATAAGATAAAATTGATAAATAGTTTCACAAGATTTTAATGTAAAATTCTGTCATCTATGGAGAACTTTGGGTTAATAAGGCACAGAAAGACACATACTGCATGTTCCCAGTTAACGGCATTTCAGAAAGTTTGTGGAAAATGCATATTATCTTTTCATCTTATTTTCCATGAACTTTTTGAAGTCCGTGCATATTTAGAAACTAATAAAAGTTGATCTAATACTAGTGGAAGGAGGAATAGTGCATACCAGAGGCTGAGAAGGTGTATAAGGAGGAGAGAAGGCAGCAGGCACAGGGGTACAATTGAGTAGGAGGAATAACCTCTGACATTCTGTAGAACAGTAGGGTAATTGTGGTTAAAAACATTTTACTCATGGGGCCGGCGCTGTAGCATAGTGGGTAAAACCACTACCTGTGGTGCTGGCATGCCCTATGGCGCCCATTCGAGTCCCAGCTTCTCACTTCCAGTCCAGCTCCCTGCTAATGCGCCCGGGAAAGCAGTGGAAGATGACTCAAGCCCTTTGGTCCCTGCACCCGCATGAGAGACTCGTAAGAAGTTCATGGCTCCTGGCTCAGGCCTTTGAGGCCATATAGAGAATGAATCAGCAGATGGAAAAAAATCTCTGTTTCTTCTTGTCTCTCTGCAACTATGCCTTTCAAATAAATAAATCTTAAAGAAAACAAATAAATAAATCTTAAAGAAAACATTTAATCATATATTTAAAGTTTGAGGTGATAGATATACCAGTCACTCTGGTCTGATCATTATACACTGTATACAAGTATTTAAATATCACACCATAGCCCATAAATATGTACAATTATGTGTCTGTTAAAGCAACATTAAGAAAAAATTTTACTGAATCTTTCAGAATAATTTTAAAAACTTTTGGTGATGTCAATTTCCTCTGCAAATCTAATGGAGCAATGCTTGTATCATTCATATAAACTATATGATTTCTAGGGATACATGAACCTGGGATATATGATGTGTGAACCCATGCTTTAGATAAAATGTGAATTGCAAAAGCTTGCATATTATTGTAAATTTGTATCAATGACTGTTGAATAACTGAGTACAATTAATTAAATAAAAGGCAATACTGGTTGAGATCCTGTGGGGTAGACAGATACTCCCAACTGTGCATACCTACTAGCTTTTTGACCTTAAGCTAGGGATTAACTTGAGTGTTCCTATTATTATTATTTAGTCAGTAAATGGAGATAACATGCTAGGTTAAGGAATAAACAAGGTGGTATATGTAAAGCATTACTTTTTGAGCCAAACCCGTTTGCTAATTGCTGCTATTATTTTTTTTAAGATCTTATTTATTTATTTGAGAGAGAATGACAAAGAGAGGGGGAGGCAGAGAGAGGTCTTCCATCTGCTTGTTCACTTCCCAAATGGCCGCAACAGCTGGATCCAGGAACCAGGAGCTTCCTCCAGGTCTCCCACAGGTGCAGAGGCCCAAGAACTTGAGGCATCTTCCACTGCTTTCCCAGACCATAGCAGAGAGCTGGATGGGAAGAGGAACAGCCTGGACACAAACCCGCACCTATGCTTGTGTGCCAGAGCCCCAGGCGGAGGCTTAGCCTACCATGCCACAGTGCTGGTCCCCTGCTGCTATTGTTTTTATTATCAGTAGTGTTATTAGTAGTCTCTTCCTTTTAAACCTCACCTGGATTATCTTTATGATTTAGTGACCAAATTGTCCTGAATTTCATAGTATAGAAATAAAACTACTCTGAGCAAAGAGCTTGATCCTTTAGGCCTGCTTTTTCTTTTTTCAAAAAACCAAAGTCCCTAAGAATATTCTTCATGATCTTTGATCTCACCATGGTAAGAAAGAGCTTCTACTTTCTGCTTGTGGATCATCAAAGAAAAGGTCTTTAGGATGTCATTAAAAGTTTCCTCCTACTCCTTTACTTCCTCTCCTGTTTCTCTTTTAGCCTAGCAAAACAGAAAAAGATGTCAGTTGATACTTCTGACTTCTTTATGGAAACCTGGTAGTGGTATTTATCCTGTCAATCATTTTTAGATATTTAGTGTTTTACATCTTGAGCTGAGGCAAAGTCCTTAACTGTCCCCATTCCTTTCTGATGAACAGCTTAGGTTACAGAAGCTTGCTCCCCTAACTAAGGGCTATGACAGATACCCTGCTGTCTTCACAGGCTGACTTTTGACCCAGACTGCTTTCTAAAGAGATCATTGTTATTACGATAAAGCCAGTTTATACTAGAATTTAACTTTCAAAGCACATTTAATTCTTAATGAATTTTCGGATCAGTTTTTTTTTTTTAATTGCCCAGTTTCTTCCTTCTGATGGCCAAGTAATATCATCTCATTCTGAAAAGTCATTCAGAAAATGTAGAAATCATAAAGAAAAAACTGATCTCCCATAGTTCTACTATACCAAAATTGTCACTTTTATTATTTTTATGACTTCATAGGCCTTTTTTATACATAGCATAGATGTATATTGCTTAAAAATATCTTTTGTTTTCCTCAGAATGCAATTCTTTTATATATGGTGCCTTGTAATCTGCTTTTTTTCCTACTGTAATTACATATTTGTATGGTGGTTTTCAATTTTTATCTTTATTTCTTACTGTATTAGAGAGGCAAATACTGATTTTCCATCCACTGATTCACTCTCTAAATGCTCATAGTAGCTTGTGCTGGGCCAGACTGAAGCCACAAACCTGTAACTCCATCCAGGTCTCCCTGTGGGTGTCAGGGACCCAGCCATTTAGGCCATACCTTGTTAACAGGATGTGCATTAGCAGGAAACTGGAATGAGGCTGGAAACCCAGGTGCTCTAATGTGAGAGGTGAGTTTCTGGAGCAGTGTCTTAATCACTGTGCCAAACACCCTTTCCTGCATGGTTCTTTTAAATACAGATGCTGTTTAATGTAACAGTTGGATTATACCCTGATAAATTCATCAGAAACTCAAAATCTTATTGTAGAAAATGCATTTAATATACTTAACCTAAAGAAAAGAAATATACTTAACCTACCAAACATCATAGCTTAACAACACAGTACTTTATAAAATATATATTGTTTACCCTCGTGATTGTGTGGTTATGTACATACAAACTGGCTAAGAAATTACCTTTTTCTAATCAAATTTGGGTATTATCAGTTATTTTAATGTTTTCCAATATGATAAATTTCATATTTCTGTGCTTTTATTTCTCTTTCTTTGACTATTAGAAATTGAGGGCTGGCGCCGCAGCTCACTAGGCTAATCCTCCGCCTTGCGGCGCTGGCACACCGGGTTCTAGTCCCGGTCGGGGCTCCAGATTCTGTCCCGGTTGCCCCTCTTCCAGGCCAGCTCTCTGCTGTGGCCAGGGAGTGCAGTGGAGGATGGCCCAAGTGCTTGGGCCCTGCACCCCATGGGAGACCAGGATAAGTACCTGGCTCCTGCCATCGGATCAGCGAGGTGCGCCAGCCACAGCACGCCAGCCGCGGCGGCCACTGGAGGGTAAACAAACGGCAAAGGAAGACCTTTCTGTCTCTCTCTCACTGTCCACTCTGCCTGTCAAAAAAAAAAAGAAATTGAACATATTGTCATGTTTTTGGCTCTTTACATTTTTCTGAGGTTCATTTTCTATTGCAAATTCTTTGCTTATTTTCCTAGACGATATATATATATCTTTTATTTTTTAAGAGCAGAATTTCATTTCTTGGATTCGGTAATGGATTATGTTTTCTTTTTAAAGACATTTTGTCTTTTTGTTGGACTAAATTTTTCACTTAATTAGTTATTGTTCAGTATTAATATAGGAAATTAAGTAATTAAGTAGTAAAGAAAGCCAAGCTTGTTACAATAATATCTGTCTAAAATACAGATGACAAAGATAGGCATCCTTAATATTTGCAGACTAAGGTACATCATCTGGCTTCGGTGTTTCTTTCTTTGTTCATGGCTGGTTCTTGAGCATGTTCTACACGAGAAATGTCTACATAAAATATATTTTTACTTTACATGTTCTTAATTGTCATTATTGTTGAAATTAAAAGAAATGGAAAGTATTGATTCGAATACTAATTTTAGCAGACTATGATTTTTAGCATCAGAAGAGAAGATGCTTTGGGAGAAATTTTTCCATATGATAAAGTATGTGTTGCTTTTACTTTATTGCTTTTAGAAGAAAGACAACAGTGAAGACATTATGTATTTATGCAGACTACAAATCTGATGAAAGCTATACTCCAAGCAAGATCTCAGTCAGAGTAGGAAATAATTTTCACAACCTTCAAGAAATTCGGGTATGTCTGTCAAGTTCTTATAAATATGTCATCCTTTAACACTCACTCTTCAGAGGGTAGTAACAGTTAACATTCAGTTAACAAGTGAAAATGTTGATGTATAAGAGGTAACTTGTAAATTGTGAAAAAAGCATGTTTGTATATAGCATTTTTATTTTCTTGTGAATAGTCATTGCTTTTTAAAAATACTATGAAAATTTGCAGACATACAGAAGAGATGAAAAAATTATACAGTAAACCCAGTATACTCACCAACTAGATTCATCAATAGTTAATATTTTGCTATATTTTATTATATTTGTCCATCTAATTTTTTATGCATTTCAAAATAAGTAGCAGATATCTAATACATTTTACCCCCAAATATTTCAGAATGATATGTTAAGAGTTATCAATATTTGCTTAATGTTTATTTTGTAAGGTAAGTTTTTGTGCAATTTTACACACATTTTGAGTAGATTATTTGGTAAGCTTTGATAAATGCACTACTATTAAGATTTAGACATTTTTGTCACTCCAAAAAACTATTGTTTATAACTGTCTTTATATCCATTGCTTTTTATAATGATTGGTCTGATTTTATTTATTTATTACCATATATCAGTTTTGCCTTTTCTAGAATTTCATATAAATGGATCATATCAGATATAATGATTATATAAGTTTCTTTAATATAAATTCACTTTATCTAATTTTTGAGATATATTCATGTTGCATTTTTCAGTGCTTCATTCTTTTTATCCTGAGTTTAACTGCATGTTTGAATGTATCACTGTATACTTTGTATATAACTTTTTGAAGCTGTTGAGGCATTGTTTTTCTGACCCAAATTTTACTAGTCACAGAATACTTACATGTCAGTAATATTTTCAGTGACTTTGAACTGTTGTGAACTTGTAAATTTTGGCTCTTAATATTTTTTGGTCAGAAAATCATTGAGCTCAAATAATCATTAAAATCTGGTTGTTCTAAGAGATCTGGGAAACACTTGCGATCTTGGAAAGACCTCTAATTGATTTGTGGCCTGGACTCTTATTTGGTCTTGTGTTTATATTAAGACATGTTTTCACACTATATTTATTACCAGATTTAGTAATAACATACCTAATAAAAACCACAAGTACTATCATTGTTTTCTCATTAAGTGAAGTATTATTCTCTTTTGAAATTTGCTTATGCACTGAAAGAATAGGAGAGTATTATCTGCAGATATTTTTTGTTTTATTTTTATCTTTCAAATATCCATTGCTTTTTAAAAATGTCAGGTTTTTTAAATAGACAAATAAAGATTACATGTATTTATCCTGTATACCATGTTTTGAAATATGTATACATTGTGGAATGGCTAAACCAACATAATTAACATATCCATTATCTTATACTTTATCTTTTTGTGATTAGAACACTCAAAATCTACTTTCTTAGTATCCAAGCAATAGAGTTGGACATTTAGACATAATAACTAAAACTTATTAGATGTAAGAATATCCTCCACTTAATACACTAAAATGAAATAAATCTTTGAGAAAAGTTTTACTTTTAACTCTCATAATACAATTCTTTGAGGACAGAGGTCCTGCATGGGAAGTTAGTGCACAGTGACTCCTGTTGTTAATTTAACAGTTAATTTAACTCTTATGTATGACATCAGTGATCGCCTGAGGCTCTTGACATGAGTTGCCCAGGCTGTGGAAGCCTTTTGAATCCACAGTCTCCGTCAGTATTTAGACAAGACCATAAGCACAGTGGAAGTTCTCTCCTCCTTTCAGAGAAAAGTACATCCTTCTTTAATGACCACTTCTTTCCACTGGGGTCTCACCCACTGATGTCCTTCATGTAGGACATGTTTTGCCTCAGTGTCTTGGCTTTCCATGCCTGAAATGCTCTTGTGGGCTTTTTCAGCCAGACCAGAATGCCTTAAGGGCTGATTCTGAGGTCAGAATGGTATTTAAAGTGATTGTCTTTCTACAGGTCTGCTGTGTGGACTGCTTCCCATGTTGGAACATTCACTCCTTTTTTATTTTATCTATTATGATTACCAAATGCTTAACCCTATCCATATGATCTCTTTAACACTTTGGATTGTATTTTACCACTCAGCATAAGAGGATTTGGGGTCCCATGGCAAGTTTTTAAACTGTACCTTAGAGTAAGTCCATAAGAATGTATCCAGAACTATACAGCTTTACAAGTAAAAACTTCATACACTTTGTAATTACAACTTTAGGAACATGGTGATTCTTCCCACCATGGCTACCCTCCCACCCAAATGCCAACCCCTATTCCTCATCTTTCTCTTATTCTCACTTTTATTTTTTACGAAGACCTAATTTCAATCGACTATACACATGTAGTTAACTCTATGTTAAGTAAAGAATTCAGCAAATAGTATGAAAAAAAAATTGTTCCTCAACAGTCAAGACAAGGGCTGTTCAAGTCATTTCTTCTCAAAGTGTCAGTTTTACTTCTACAGATTGCCTTTTAGGTGCTCCATTAGTTATCACAGATCAGAGAGAACATATGGTATTTGTCCCTTTGGGACTGGCTTATTTCACTAAGTATCATGTTTTCCAGGTTCATTCATTTTGTTGCAAATGACCGGATTTCATTTTTTTTTTTACCACTGTGTAGTATTCCATAGATTACATATCCCGGCTGGCGCTGCGGCTCAATAGGCTAATCCTCCGCCTGCAGCGCTGGCACACCGGATTCTAGTCTCAGTTGGGGCACCAGATTCTGTCCCGGTTGCCCCTCTTCCAGGCCAGCTCTCTACTGTGGCCAGGGAGTGCCGTGGAGGATGGCCCAAGTGCTTGGGCCCTGCACCCCATGGGAGACCAGGAGAAGTACCTGTCTCTTGGCTTCGGATCAACGTGGCGGCCATTGGAGGGTGAACCAATGGCAAAAAGGCAGACCTTTCTCTCTGTCTCTCTCTCTCACTGTCCACTCTGCCTGTCAAAAATAAATAAATAAATAAAGGTTACATATCCCATAATTTCTTTATCCAGTCTTCAAGTGACAGACATTTGAGTTGATTCCATGTCTTAGCTATTGTGAATTGAGCTGCAATAAACATGGGGGTGCAGATAACTCTTTTATTTGCTGATTTCATTTCCCTTGGGTAAATTCCCATGAGTAGGATGGTGGGGTCATATGGTAGGTCTATATTCAGATTTCTGAACTATCTCCATACTGTCTTCCATAGTGGCTTTACCAGTTTACATTCCCACCAACAGTGGACCAGGGTACCTTTCCCTCTACATCCTTGCCAGCATTTGTCATTTGTTGATTTCTGTATGAAAGCCATTCTAACTTGGGTGAGGTGAAACCTCATTGTGGTTTTGATTTTCATTTCCCTGATGTTTAGTGATCCTAAGCATTTTTTCATGTGTCTGTTGGCCATTTGGATTCCTCTTTTGCAAAATGTCAGTTTAAATCCTTTGCCCATTTCTTAACTGGGTTGTTTGTTTTGTTGTGGAATTTCTTGATCTCTTTATATATTGTGGTTATTAATCCTTTATCAGTTGTGTAATTTGCAAATAATTTCTCCCATTCTGTTGCTTGCCTCTTCACTTTCCTGGTCTTTCTTTTGCAGTACAGAAGCTTCTCAATTTGATGTAATCCCATTTGTTAGTTTTATCTTTGATTTCTGTGTCTTGGCGTCTTTTCCAAGAACTCTTTGCCTATTCCAGTTTCTTGCAGGGCTTCCCCAATGTTCTCTGGTAATTTGATGGTATCTGGGAAGAGATTTAGGTCTTCAATCCATTTTGAGTTGATTTTTGTGTAAATTGTAAGGTAGGCATCTTGCTTCATGCTTCTGCATTTGGAAATCCAGTTTTTCCAGCACCATCTGTTGAAGAAACTGTCCTTGCTCCAAGGAATGGTTTTAGCTTCTTGGTCATACATAAGTTGGTTGTAGATGCTTGAATTGATTTCTGGTGTTTCTATCCTGTTCCATTTGTCTGTCCTTCTGTTTTTGTTCCAGTACCAGGCTGTTTTGATTATAACTGCCTTGTAATATGTCTTGAAATCTGGTATGTTGTTGCTTCCAGCTTTGTTTTTCTTTTATAAGATTACTTTAGCTATTTGAGGTCACCTGTGTTTCCATATGAATTTCAGCATCATTTTTCTATATCTGAGAAAAATGTCCTTGGTACTTTGAATGGTATTGCATTGAATCTAAAATTGCTTTCAGAAGTACGGACACTTTGATAATATTGATTCTTCCAATCCAATCCATGGACATGGAAGATTTTTCCATTTTTTTTATCTTCTTTTATTTCTTTCTTTAATGCTTTGTAATTCTCATTGTAGAGATTGTTGATGTCCTTGGTTAAATTTATTCCAAGGTATTTGCTTTTTATTTGTAGCTGTTGTGAATAGGATTGATCTTGGAAATTCTTTCTTAGCCATGCATGGCTTTGTCTATGTATACAAAGGCTGTTGATTTTTGTGTATTGATTTTATATCCTGCTATTTTTCCAAACTCTTCTATGAATTCCAGTACTCTGTAGTGGAGTCTTTTGGATGTCATCTGTAAATAGGGTAGTTTGACTTCCTGCTCCCCAATTTGTATCCCTTTGATTTCTTTTTCTTGCCTAGTTGCTGTGACTAAAACGTCCAGTACTATATTGAATAGCAATGGCGAGAGTGGGCATCCTTGTTTGCTTCCAGATCTAAGTGGAAATGCTTCCATCTTTTCCCCATTCAATATAATGCTGGCCTTGGGTTTGTCATAAATTGCCTTCACTGTGTTGAGGATTATTCTTTCTATACCCAATTTTCTTAGAGTCTTCATCGTGAAATGGTGTTGTATTTTATGAAATGCTTTCTCTTCACTTATTGAGATAATCATATTTTTTAATTCTTCATTTTGTTGATGTGATGTGTCACATTAATTGATTTACGAATGTTGAATCATCCCTGCATACCAGGGATAAATCCCACTTGGTCTGGGTGGAGGATCTTTCTGATGTGATGTTGGACTCAATTGACCACAATTT